AATTTACCCATTTGCTAATGCTCTATGGTATGGGATGTTTATGGCGGGGGGGGGGGGGGGGGGGGGGGTGGGTATGTGAGTAGTCTGTCTGGACTGCATTGCAACAGTTGAAGGATAAACATTGTTTTTTAGGAATTAGAGACTCTATCACGTGAGCTTGAAGTCAACAAAGAAAGACTGCTTAACAAAAGCCTTAGTTATCAAAGACAACTCGAAGAAYTAGAAGATCCACAGAATTCACCACCAATCAACGATAAGTTAATGAGGTACAAGATATTATATTCATAACCACGCTCTGTCCNCTCACTCGGTCAATAAGACCCGAGTAAAGAATAAAAGAAAACGAAAAAATATATATATAAAAACCATAATAAGTCTCGCTGATCTTTCACGATCCAAATGATAACGGCTGAAACGGCTCTAGTATTCCAAGCAGTATAGTGGACGCACCAGAAAGAAGTAAAAAAAAAGCTGTGAAGTAGATGGACTATTGGGCTGATACACCTTGGTATCCTCTAACTGCACTGCTTTCTTTTGTGTCTATTTGCAGGTGTTCGGAAGCATAKYATTTTTASCCTATATTTGGTGGTGCAATTACTAAACGTTCATAGTCCCATGCTTTCCCTCTTGAAAAATAAATGCCTTGCGCTTTTGCGACTTTGTTTCTTCCTTGCATGTGTTACACACCACTATTGATGTTTGGACTGAATACAGAATTCCTTGCTAACTTGTAATAAATCTTAGAATCCGGGAGTCAGACAACTGCAGACAACGTAGCGCAATACACCCAGCGAACGAAGCAGTCTCGTATACTCCTGCTCTCAAGCCAGTCTGTCTGTCCTTCTCCTTTACATCACTGGAAAAAATCGCACGATTATTTGTTGTAAATATGATGTAAGTGTCCAAAATTCTGAAAATTCGAAGTAAATGATTTCAATTAAATTTACAGAATTTTGGACACTTACATAATATTTACATCAAATTTACAACCTTTAAAGCAAAATAACCTGCAGACCACAACAAACCGACATATACCCCATGAATTTGTTTTATTCGTAGATTTATAAGCCACCCATGATCCTCTGCACCTGTTGACCTAACGAGCCTGAAGCTCCGAAATTCAGGATAATGATCACGATGACGAAAAGGTGGTTGTTGCAGAAAACATTTAAGTCAATATTTCTTTAAGAATATCGACCTAGTGATTAAAAACCTCTCATTATATTCCATTCTTACTCAGTCCATTCCTCGGTAGTATAGTGGTGAGTATCCCCGCCTGTCACGCGGGAGACCGGGGTTCGATTCCCCGCCGGGGAGAGATGATTTTTACACGTTATAGATGTTTTTTTTATTGATTCTATTTCATACCTAATACAGTTGGTCAATTTACGTGCATCATCGAGTATTTCGGCTCCTAAGATTCATAATTTAATTCTTGTTTCACCTCAATTCAAAGGTTATATTGTGATAGTTGAGTATAATTAGAAACATTCTGAAGCTAGTTCCGAAGGAAACTGTTTTAAGATAATTAATTTGTCTTCGGCGGATAATTTTTTTCAATTTTCAATCCGGATACGTGTGGTCAGTTCGAAATCTGCGCGTTTATGTGTAAGTGAAATACATGACTCTACATAATATCTATGTCCAACTACCACTTTATATCTATGTCCAACTACTACTTTATATCTATGTCCAACTATAAAAACAGTTTCTTTTTATAATTTCACAAGTGAAATCTTTGTGTCGCTTCTTCTGCCACCATCTTCGCGATAGCAAGTGATGACGTAGCAGCAGGCGAKGGTGCATTTCTGACGTGCAACATACGACTACCAAGATCACCCACTCCACCATCAAATACAAAATCATCCACAAGATTACCATCCACGTCTAGAGCCTGGGCACGAACACCCGAAGGACCCCTATATAGACAGATGTGGTGTTATTTCCTAACATTGACTAGGGCAGATTTACAGACAGATAGACAGACAGACAGACAGACAAACAGAACAGGATGGAGATGAAAATATGCCTACAAGTGTCAGACGGTATGAAGACTGATTTTAGATAAAGAAGACATGGTCAGGGAACGGACGACTACTTATTTACCTTATAACATCGTTAGCTGTGAGTTTAGGTACATATTTCTGTAATTGCTTCACTTGTGCAGCTATGTAAATCCCACGGTAGTATTCTCCTACGCCAAACGTGAAGTACTTGTACATYAGTTTACGTAGCCCTCTGAAACATTCAACACATTGTCTCAATTCATGTTCAGTTAYAAACCTCTCAAAATAGCCGTAGTGATGATAATGAAATGATGATGATAACAGTGATGATAGCGAGACAATCAATTGATGACAGTATTCATAGGACCTGAGAATTACTTTTGACCATCAAGTGATAATGACAGCTCACCTAAAGGCAAGCGCATCACCAAGATCTCGTAAGTTAACATTCCATAACTTGTACCCCTCACGAGCAAACGCCAAGACAGCATTGGGTCCTAGCCATACACTACCATCCATACGAGGAGTRAAGTGAACACCTAGAAATGGGAAGTTGGGATCGGGAACCTGGTGGTAAACAGAGTTGACCATTAAAATGTATTGTTTTGCATACTAAGATTGCATTACTGGAGCTCAACATGGAACGTACACGTATCAAATGTGAGATAAAACAGCTCACTTGAGGAATTATTTCCCAGCGYATTAAAATAGTTTGTTGTGTAGATAGGTAGTTGTAGTCTTTGGCTCCTAGTCTTTACACGTCCATGTTGATACATGACAACATGCTACTGTCCGGTTAACAAACATTATTCCGTGCGTCTGATATACACAGATGACGTCATGAGACCAAAAAAGTACGCTAGGAAAATTGGAATCTATTTGTTTTATATATTATTTCCCTCCCATTTTTGGAGCGCGGGTAACAAACACCAACAGAGCGTGCGCACTGGTTCTGACCAATAAGAGCGGCCGTAAAATTAAATAGCGTCATCTGTGCGAATGTACTTTAGTAACACACGGTTCTCGACCAATACAAGAGCGAGTAATTTACCAAATATTATATAAAAGTACCTACAGGGTATATATTGCCGTTCACTAAGTTTGACTTRTCGGGTTTTAGGACGAGGTAGTCACCACGAAAAGGGACGATTCGYGGCACTCTACTACACCCTGATTTCTCAGCCAAACGATCCGAGTACAGACCACCACACGTGATGACGTAACGACAGTTGATTGCTGGCTGTTGATTGACAAATGGTTAAAAACTGTCCATAAGGGACGGCCCATTAGATAATTGAGGGGGGGGTTGGGCAATTTTGGTCTCGCAGGAATTTTTTTTTGTCGTTCGTGGCCGTGCACGATTTTTTTTTCACAAATAATTTGCTTGCAGGAATTTTTTTTCCAAAAAATTAATTGCTTACAGAGTTTAAACATTTTATATTTTTAGACATTTTTTAGAGATTTTGATTATTATAGTGAAAGCTGCACAAATGTACTCCCTGACTTTCATTTATTGTTGTTGTTGTTTTTGTTATTATGTATCATTCTGGAAATAGGCTTAAACATGAAGGTTCACATATATGTATATCACTAAAGATCATCATTTCCATAGAAAACCAAAGTATCATACATTTTATAAGCTTTAAAAACTGGAGTGATTAGTTTATGGGCAAAATGTCCTCAAATCATACATAATATAATTAGTATCATTTTTAAATTGTTATTGTTCGTATGGGCCTTTTATTGTTCGTATGGGCTTTTTAAAATTTATTTATAAAATCATTCTCATTAATTCAATTGGTGCTTGGTACTATCTGTATACATTCCATAACTTGTTGAGATATGTCAGTTCATAGTTTAATGAATGTTTTCTATCATTTGTAAAAATAATGATATTTAATGAAAATACACTTCTGGTTGGCTGGTTGGTGCCATAAATTCAAAATTTTGTTTCATTTCTGAATGGATATAGCATTAAATTTTAGACTGTATCAACAACAGTTCTATATGAATACATTGTAAAAAGATGACTGAAAAACGCAAGACTGAATACGTTTTACAATAACTATATTTTTCATGTTCTAGCTGTTTACTTCTCTACATAATATTCAGCATATTCATTTGCATGAATTTTTTTTTTGAGCCCTCTTTTAGTGCACGATTTTTTTTTCTTCCTTTAAGGCTGTGCTCGAATTTTTTTTTGGTTATTGCCCAACCCCCCCCTCAATTATCTAATGGGCCGTCCCTAACATAACATCTCTATTCATATTAAATGAGTATTACCACCTTTCTATCATACGTCAGGCTCGATCACAAGTCCTTGAGAATAAGTCTGCATTACAATCCCTAACATAATGGCCTACTCGGCCTACACCATTATAATACTACTATCAACCTACCACATCTTTGCCATGGATTGTTACTGGATGTGTTAAACCTGCAAATCAAGACAATTGAATGAAAAACTTAATATACAGAAAGGGTTCATCATACAACCACTATGGGGAAGATTCAGTGAGGTCATGTATTGCATCACATTCTTGTATGTGAACAACATCTTTTTTAGTACAAAAGGGCTGATTAAAAAAATTTGGTAAATTTAAAATTACTCCCAATTGAAGTTAATCCAGAAATCCCAAAATAATTTGAAAAAGGCATATTGATTTAACCATAAGTTTACTGTACTAGAATTCTGTCTAGAAACAACAATCTGACCTTCTTCTTTGCTTTGTGATCTGCTGCTTTCTGTGGCACAGCTAAAATCATTGACCTTTAAAATATCAAAATTCTAAATCAGTTAAGATTGGTAAGGATTCAGCATACCCAAAGAAAGACCCTAGAAACAAGCCAGCMAGCCAGCCTACAAACTAAAATCACATCCTGTCTTTAAAACTCTGACCTGACTACCACAGCATCTTTATCTTTGCCATGTGTATGACTGACTTACAAATTGTAACCATTAGTTTTGAGTTTCCAGTAAATGTCGTTTGATTTATTGCTCAGATTGATATGAGACAGATTGAATTTTGATTAAGTGTCCTATGACGATAGATCAAGGAGAGTTGCTAGGTAGGCTAACATTACTCATGACAAGAAACAATAAAATTTATCAATGTACTATTAATAGCTTTTTTCMCAGTTCATATCTGTGTTGATGCTTACATGGTAACTAGTGTAAATATCTCCTCCAGCTTTCTTAAAGTTTTCTCCATAAGAATTACTGACTTGAGCCCAGTCTACAATGCCTGTATTGGGAGAGACTATCGCAAACATACCCTGAAAGAAARAACTGAGTTATTGGGATTTATCATAGATTTGTTTTATATGTCAATACTCAACCTCAATAAAGCAAATCCATTTCTAAATCAAAATAACTGGTATGGTTAAAACATGTTCAATTCCACCTTAATCCTTCCATTATCATTATTATCATTTCCCATTATGCTAATACCATCACAGAGTCTAAAGAGAGTGCAACTTACCTCACAGTTTGGTTCAATTTCTTTGATGCCTTTCTTGTCGACCATKGTCAAGTCCCTGACACCATTCATCTTTCCTCTATCAAAAAGGTTATTCAAYAATGGGATTTCTTTGTCCTCTACTGCAACGATTAGCTAAACAAAACATCACAGATCATATTATCAGCAAAAAATGTTTTGATCAAATATCGTTAGCAAAATGAATTATTGATAATCCAATACAATTATGCCACAACCAACAAAGTCAACAACCAATGTTTGAAAAGAGTTATCTGATCTCAGGATTGGATCAGGATCATCATAAAATATGTGATAAGAGCACAGGTATCCCAAGCTAAACATTTGTTTTGTTTCATCAATATAATATAAAGAATGCAATAAAAATGAACATCTCTTTTTGTTTGTTTAGCTTTTCTTTACATTTCTTCAGTTTCAGGCCTTTTTCTTCAATATTGAGTGATTTATTACTGTTGTTCCCCAGTGTACTAAGAAATTCAATATTGATGTACTTCTGTTGCAACCYCAATCCCCTCAATCAATCAATCAAATCTTTATTTATCCATGGAATGTCCCAATCAGTTAAAAGATACTAACAATAATATTTGCAAACTACAAAGATAAGCTAAAAACTATTAATAATATCTATAAATATGATAATTTAATTGTAACAAAAAAACCTGTTTTCCGTGGGAGCCGTGCAAATAAAAGTTGATACAACAAAAGTGTATACGAATTTAAAAATATCATGCTATATGTTAAACTGTTTTCGTTTTTTAAAATCACCTCTTTCGACACACTACACCAAGACCTTTGAATGAAACATGTTTCGTCTATTAGACCTTTTCAATCATGAATGAAAAGGTCTAATAGACGAAACATGTTTCATTCAAARGTCTTGGTGTAGTGTGTCGAAAGAGGTGATTTTAAAAACGAAAACAGTTTAACATATAGCATGAAATTTACAAACTCTTTAGTGATCAGATTTAAAAAGATTTCTAGAAAATATTTAAAAATAGTTGCAGCAATGCTTCTGAAAAGTATTAAGGGAGCTTGCTTGTCGTAACCCGACTGGAAGGCTCTTCTTAGGATGCTGGGGATAACAATTATACTTCACATGAAGAAAATGGCCTGAAACTTTATGAATATCCAGAGATGTCTATTTTTATTAGAACTTTCCTTACATTGACAAACACAACACAAATGCTTAGCTTTAGCTGCTTGTGACGAGACATTTATCTGTGAGATTTATCAAGTCATGAACTGAGAGGACATTTTAGAAAGGGATTTCTGATGGGGTTATGTCAGAGGTCTTGAACTTGTTTACTTTGTAACTAGAATATTGAAAAAAGAAATCATGCTTCAGTCTAAAATTATTAGAAAGCCATTCAGAGGATAAACTAAAGAAGAAGAAACATCAATATTTGCATAGAAGACGCTGTGTAATTCAATACCCTCAAGAGAAACAGGACCCACTCTAAACAGATCTATTGATTTAAACTGAATAATGAGTGAGTGATTGATTCTATTACACATTACATCACATGTACATGTGGCTATCGTGTGTCTTCTGAACAAAGTCAGAAACAATTTCTTATTGTTATGTGTTTGTATAGTGGTTCTCTTACAAACCTTTCCACATTTCTTGTAGGGTATGCCATTTTCATCACAGTATTTGTAAGTCAAATCTAAACCCTCTACACACAGTTTTGCTTTCAGCGTTCCCGGCTTGTAATATATACCACAATGCACTACTCCACTGTTATGGCCAGTCTGATGGGTTGCTATAATAACCATTAGATGAGATCAGCTTCTATCAAAATGTTTTCAGCAGGTTTTTCTACTTACATAACTGTTTTTCCTTCTCTAAAACACAAAATGTAAGGTTTGGATACAATGTTATAAGACGTTGTGCTGTTGCCAATCCAATGATTCCCCCTCCAACGATAGCAATGTCATAGCTTCTTGCTGTGTTCATTGATCTGGATCAATAATAGTGATATATTACCAACCAAACAATGTCTAAACTAGAAAAATAGCGGCTATGCCAAGAATGCCTGAAATTGTTATAATAAATTACTGAAGAGGTTATTAAGATATTCACCCTGAGACAATGTAGAGATTACCCATATAAGGTAATTGGCTGGTCAATAACCCTTTTGATAATCTCTAGCCTGAGTATCAGGCTCTCTCCAAGGTGTTTGGGGCGGAGCGAGAAAGGAGAGAGAGCCTGACACAATCTTCTATCAAGAGCCATTCCGCCTCCTTGCAATGCGTGACGCGTGACAATAAATTCAAGCCAATTAAAAAGCTGTTCTGATTTGCTTGTTTTTGCGATGTGGCGGTTATATGTCAAAATTTATCTAGTATATGATTTTAAAAGTCACATCTTTTATGCCGATTTTTACCAGATTATCAAATTGTGGACGTCTAATAAGCTCTAGAGGATTGATCACTATAATCTTGAATTGTTTTACTYCGTTATAGGTCGGTGTAATGTTAGTGTTATATGAGACGTTTCCGTTAATCGGTTTGTTTTTGTACGCGTAAAAGACAAGCCTCTGGGACCAGGGTACTATGAAAGCTTTCCTAAACTGTTATTCACTTATATTAAAAGTCATTGCGTCGTTCGGTAACATAATAATTATAGATATTTTAATTCCTGTCACTGCCTTTGTCCTCTAGACCAATCAGCGTTTCGGCCATGAAACGGCCGCAGAACACGGCTCTCGATAGAAGATTGTGTCAGGCTCTCTCTCCTTTCTCGCTCCGCCCCAAACCCCTTCGAGAGAGCCTGATACTCAGGCTAGATAATCTCTACATTGTCCTGCAGTGCATATAAGAACAACTTTCATTTTTCAGCCTGAATGTGTTCTTATATAAATGGTACTCTATTTCCTAAAATCAGGCCTGGGTGTTCTTAATCCACTTGTTCCTATATGCAGGTTTTTACTGTAATGCAGCTTATTATATGACCGTGTAACTAGGAGTCTGGGCCCTAGCAAATGCAGGCATTTGATTGGCTTAAAATCAGATTGAGAATGAAATTTAAATAAATTTATAATTTATAAATATATTTAAATTTAAATATGTCAACCATCTATAAGGTGCTTTTTAACATCACCTCTTCAAATATAACATGTATGTATGGATAAAAACATTAAAATGTCCTAAAAAAAAACAAAAAAATTGAGTACGAAGATTTCCTCGTACAAAACATTCTGGGAAATCTGTGTCAACTACATGTTGGATGGCTCATGGCGCAACAAAATAAATTTGGAGATGCATTCTGAGTTCGTCAGCAGTCATGAATATTGACTTTTTATAAGACGAAATACTAATTAAGCAACTAAAACTATTCCAAACTTTAAAGAAAACGATTGCAGCTCAATCACCTTGAGTGAAGGTCGTGTGTGGAGCCAGCTCCGATACATCGTCTCAAAAAACTCCAGCTTACAACTGCATTTCTTCCCCCAGCAAAAGGTGCACTTCTCCTTAACATGATCAAGAAATTAGGCTTTCAAATTCCTATAATCGTTAACAAAATGTACGATCTGTCCGGCTTCGATATCCTAGCCCATGATGACCTCTGCAACACTGTTTAGTGACAGGCGTTCCTAATCAAAGCTGCGAGGTACTGGCACCGAATGGGAATTTGAATATGAACAAGACATATTAATTAAGAAAAGAACCGGAAAAGAAAGGCAGAAAGAGGGCAGAAAAAAGTGAAAAATATTTTACTATGGGTTGTAGCTTAAATTCRCGATTGATGGGAAAACTTCGGTTTTGGGTTCCCTGTGTCAATAAATTGAATCTGCAATAATGAAGTACAGCGACATCATCACGAGTAATTATGACGTCACAATGGTAATTACAGAGAGAAGAGAGAAGTACACATCAAGTTTGTGCGCTGATGGTAAGTTGTACGCTGTTGTACGTTGTTTCAGTTACAGCAAAAATGTGTTTGACAAAACAAACACTTTTTCAGGTTTCAACTGTTGCTTTTCTGAACGTCCATTAACCTTTTCTGTTTTTGCTTTCGCAGTGACAAAATCTGTATCAAGGAGACCGGTCGCATCAAATGTAAGCCCGAATCACCATTAAGCATGACCTGAAAACCTCCTTTTTTCCCTGTGGCGGAGCGTTTGGTCAAGCAGCTAAATATACGGACGAAAGCTATGCAGGTAAGTCCAAAAAAAGTAACAATAAATACAACTGGTATGTCATAACAGTTTACAAAAGTTATAATACAAAGTTTTGTTGAATTTTTATTCCTTAGTTTTCAAATTATTTACAGTAATTTTAATTTCCTTTATAATTTGATGCTATTTTTACGCAAATAATCATTTAAGGAACTTAATTAATTGGAAAATTAAACAATCTAAAACATCAATCAATATAAAACAATCAGTTTTACGGAAATTAGAAAAAGATAATGATTTTTAAAAACGTTGCTTCAACCTCAACTTTTTATTTTGAATAGACCAACCTACAATCATCTATCTATAAAAAGATAATTCAATTGGCATATTAAAATTAGCATACTAAAACTAGTAAAGCTGACGACCATTTGTGGTGAAGTATGTTTAGTTCGATAACTGGGGCATGGTCTTTCTTCTATTAAGAACTACCAAGACACTTTTTAGTTGAGCCAGCTCATGTTTTATGAGACTCCATGCATGTTGGTATCAGAATGTGATTTATTGTTTTTGTTTTCGTTTCGCTCATTTTTATAATGCAGACCTAAATTAAATGTTTAACTAAATTAATTCAATGCACAGGTATAGTATGTGAGAACTGGCTGCTAGAATGATCAGGTCATAACAAAATACTAGCTAAAAAAAGGCAAAAAACAGTTCATAACAAAATAATTTTTAAATAGAACAATAAAAAAAAGAGAAACGCTGGACCTTTTAAGCTTGTGTGTGTGTGTTTTGCGCATTTGAAAATTTAGTAGAGTATCTGAAAATACATTTTCTAACCGAATGCATGGCTAGAATTTATTTTATGAGAATTTTTTTAATCCGAGTTTATTGGTAGATTTTGTTTTAAAAATTGGTCAAACTACATATAATCCGTACGTACATTATCATCGACTGCAAACTTGTCGTGAACTACGAAAAGCTATTAGATTAAAATGGCGGAACGTCGCGGTAAACTAGAGCAGCTAAACTGAGCTGTGTCGGTGTTTCTAAAGAAACAGTTGTGTTAAAAAACAAATTTTATGATGTTTCGGGCGCTAATCTTTCGTCGGAGTAAAGAGAGGAAGCTATCAGATTATAAGACGCGGCAAAAGATCGACGTTCCTAGAGAAAACGTTAAAGAGAAAACTCACCCAGAATAGCAATAAATATTAATTTTTTAATTAAAATGTTCAACAAGTACATTGCTTGTAACAGGTACATATTTCTCATACTCATTTTTGATAACTATTGACGACGTATCCAGCCAATCTGTGATCGTTACTTGTGTCACGTGCAGTTACTGGAGGCCAAAAGAAAGCTACCTCATATCAAGTAACTTCTACTTCATTCATAGTTACTACTAGCAGTTTGTAATGCATAAAATATAAATAGAACGTCCAATCTTGCTGTCTGTTTGTTCCGCGCCTTAACCCATTACACCAATACGCCATTAGACATTTCCGATTCCATTCCTGGGGAAGATCACGTGCTTTTTTAAAAAATAGGCTCATATGAATTGACACGAGATACAATGGATACTGGTTAATGTACTTAAATCATAAAACGCACCCGAAATCCTAGGTGAAGACGCTATAATGCCAATCCATTTCTGTTATAAAATTTTCTTATATTTTTCCCTTCCAGAAGACAAGTTCTCCAAACTGACTTCTTCAGTCCAGTCTAGACTGGAACTGCTTTGCGGACACTTCTGTGATATACACTGTTTGCAGTTTCTGCTGCTATTTATTCATGATAACGAAATGTGACTTTTCAAAACAAAAACAAAACCAAAATGGGTTTTTAGCTTAATCATCAACATCAGCGCTTCTTCGCTGAAAGTGCACTTAAGCAATTCCTTTCTTCATAATACAATATGTATCCAAATAATGGAAAGCGTTATTACATCATTTGAATGTGCTTCATGACCTCAGAAAATAATTGTACTTAACACAATATACTTCTGTTCATAATGGAATATGTGAAAATGTATAAAAATGTGTCTTCATTATGGAATGTGTGTCTTCATTATGGAATGTGTCTTCACTATGGAATGTGTCTTCGTTATGGAATGTGTGTCTTCATTATGGAAAGGGTCTTTATTATGGAATGCGCCTTCATTATGGAATGTGTGTCTTCATTATGGAATGCGTCTTCATTATGGAATGTGTCTTCATTATGGAATGTGTCTTCACTATGGAATGTGTCTTCATTATGAAATGGGTGTCTTCATTATGGAATGTGTTTTCATTATGGAATGTGTCTTCACTATGGAATGTGTGTCTTCGATATGGAATGTGTCTTCATTATCGAAAGAGTCTTTATCATGGAATTTGTTTTCATTATGGAATGTGTCTTCATTATGGAATGTGTGTCTTTATTATGGAAAGTGTCTTCATTATAGAATGTGTCTTCATTATCGAAAGTGTCTTCATCATGAAATGTCTTTTCATCATGGAATGTGTCTTTATTATGGAAAGTGTCTTCATTATGGAATTTGTGTCTTCATTATGGAAAGTGTGTCTTCATTATGGAATGTGTCTTCACTATGAAATGTGTGTCTTCAATATGGAATGTGTGTTCATTATCATGGAAAGTGTTTTCAACATGGAATGTGTCTTCATTATTTTTAAGTGTCTTCATCATGGAATGTGTTTTCATTATGGCATGTGTCTTCATTATGGAAAGTGTGTCTTCATTATGGAAAGTGTCGTCACTATTGAATGTGTGCCTTCAATATGGAATGTGTCTTCATTATCGAAAGTGTCTTCATCATGGAATGTGTTTTCAACGTGGAATGTGTGTCTTCATTATGCAATGTGTCTTCATTATGGAATGTGTGTCTTCATTATGGAAAGTGTCTTCATTGTGGAATGTGTGTCTTCTTTATGGAAAGTGTCTTCATTGTGGAATGTGTGTCTTCTTTATGGAAAGTGTCTTCATTGTGGAATGTGTGTCTTCTTTATGGAATGTGTGTCTTCATTATGGAATGTTCCTTCATTATGGAATGTATGTCTTCGTTATGGAACGTGTCTTTACTTTATTGAATGTGCCTTCATTATGGAATGTGTCATTTCTTTTTAACATTTTTCAGAAACTGTCGCAAGGTATGTTTGAGCTCTCTCAGAATAAAACCAAGTTCGTTTTGTCACATTGCTTGTAAGTCCATCTTTGAATATTCTTCCAGGATAGGATATCATATTTTCATAGCTCTAAATACAGCTCGAAATGATGTCATTTTGGATTTGGGACTGAAGATTCATTTTAATGTACAGCATCGCCTCTTTATTTTTTTCATCATGAAATGCGCAATTCTCGTGAAAAGGGGTTCCTATGCCATGGAATGTAGTATTTTGTGTTATGACAAAATGTGAGACAAATGGAATCACAGGAATTGTGATAGGGTTAGAAGTTGTACTGGCAAAACACATATTGACGTTTCCTGAATTCAAAAAGCTATATTGAGAACGAGTATGGAAACACACCACTGAATCTAGTCAATACTTCAAATTAGACCTATTTTCACGTTCGAGTCTACTACGATGAATCCCCAACAAGTAGCAAATAAAATTTGATAGACATAAAATTCATAATAATTAACTTGAAAGTCATAATGGTCGAGGCTAGTGCACAGATCCATGCATTTTTTTAGTTTTTTTTGTAGACCTTTAATGCTTGCCAATTTTTCTGCTTGACATGCTCAAACGCAGCAACTTAACTAAATTCGGTATGCTCTTTCTCATCATAGGGTTCGTTTCTTAAGGGTCTGCCAGTTAACACACAGAGGAATTACATGGGTGTGCGGAGATACGAATTTTATCTTGGACTGTTTAAAAGATTTCTCACAAGTGAGCGTAGACGTACCATGAAGAATGTGATATTTTTGATAGTGGAAAGGATTTTTCAACTTAAATTATAAAAGAAAATCTTTTAGTTAAAGAGAAAGATAGTATTACCATGAGTCGTTTATAGTTAAAACAATTATTCTTTGACAAATTCATTATTATTAATAATATTATGTGTTTTTGAATTCATTCAATCTTTTTTACTTTTTTAGCAGCATCAGTCTGGTGGAATGGCTCTTATTCCTACAATGATTATTAATTACTAACTACCTCACTCTACGTAAGTCCAAATCCTTTGCTATTCTCAATAGCAACAACAAGTCTTTCTCGGAGGTTGTCTTCGCTACTATACGGAGGTAGCAGAAGTCTATTAAAACACGTCAAAGCAGCTGGCAGTCGATCGCTATCTGTGCCATGTTTCTGAATTATGAAGGTTAGGTTGGATAGTCCTTTTAAGGGAACACGATCACTTCCTGTTACAAACATGAGAACAGCCTTCTTTTGCTTGATAGTCATGGAGTTGAAGACATTCCACAGCATCACTATGGTAGGATGTTCAGGTGAAAACCCATCTTCGTATGTGGCAGCGGATCTAAGTTGACTAAAGTCAAGAACTGGGCAGCCACATATGAGCAATTCCAGCTCAGCAGGACTGAAGAGGGTTAATGCTGAACCTCCACAAACCTGATGGATGAACATTATAATTACAATTATTATTATCAGAAACTATAATATTTAAAATTGCACGTAGGATTCATAATTTAAGAAAAGAATTTATAACAAGCTTTTGGCTCAAGTGGAATGGAACTAAGGCCTTAGCTACTGAAAGTCAAGGGACCAAATGGAATCAAAAATATGTACTGTAATTTGTAATACTTGATGATGAATCTGTTGGCGACTCACAAAATAGTCACTTGAAGAATCCATAAAAAAATTATGAAATTATTATGATCCTTCTTTACCTTGTGAAATCCTTGTGAAAATGCATCAAATTGTTTGGCAACAGAATCCACTAAAAGGTACTTCACGTACAGTTCCACAAACTTTTGTCTGTTGTCATTTGTGACAGCAATTTGTGAGCCGTTAGGGAGAAGATCAACATTATGGACTTTACCATAGACGTCAGCACTAGACACCTAAAGAGATGACAGCAAGTAGTTTAGAACAACTGGACAACAATCTCATTACGAAATGACTTAACAGAATTTGGATGATGATGACTGCAATGTCGATAATTACAATGAGGGTGCCCTTGACATGTTTGTTTGAAATAAAGGTCAAATTGCTCAGCATTGGGACAAAAAGAATCAGGATTGAGTGGTCCTTTAGTCTGGTGAAACTCCAATTTCTGATAGACCCGATGTCACAAACTCGATGGGGAGCTTTTTTTTACAAATTTGTTGGTTTCATTCATTCCATGAAATTTTATATTCATTTTTCCAAATAATTAAGTTAGCCTTTCACAAATTGCTGCTCCTTGCATTGCTAACAGAATCTTCTGATTTGGTGCAAGGCTTTATATTTTATATTTTGAACATTTTGTGGTTGATATTACTAGCTTCCCAGATGTTAAAAAAGAAAATGTAAGAACACAGCCATGATTGATAATGACGATGATGACTGCAATAACAATGTCAATATTGAATCACTTAGTACTAATAAAAGCCATTCTTATGCACTATAAGCATAAATAATAATAATGAACCTGAAAAGAGTAGCAGAAAACATCCTCTACATCTCCATCAAACTCCAATAACTGTCTCAAGCTTCTTGACAATGCAGGCTGTAAGCTGCTTAGATCCTGAAGGTCTAGTGCGTGTCCTTGCAGTTTCTTGTAGATGACAGAAGGGAAGTGCACATCAAGAATTACCCCGTTGTAGATAGCTAATCCAAGCACAATACCAACTAATTCAAATTCTTTCTCAGATTCAAGAGATGAACCATTAATCCATGTGCATCTTGTTTCATCGATGTAAGAAAACATACCAAAGTCTGAAAATTCAATGACAATATCTCAGTTATGGAATTCATGACATCACAAACAGCCTGTCTACACCAGACGCTGTTCATGCTATACAATCTTACCTGACTCAAAAATAGAGTCCACAATCATGTGAAAGAATTCTTTTTGTAGTCCTCCCATGTCAAGTCCCTGTTCTCCTCCTCCAACATACTTGATCTTTAAAGGCTTTTTGAGATCACCTTCCTAAAGTAACATCATGACAAAATATAAACAATAACTCAACTGTCAGCATTTCTCAAGTAGATTAATGCCAACGACTGAAGCTAAATGAATGAACGTTACATGTGTTGCATAACGATCATTCATTCATATACATGTATGTTGTAATATCTGTGTACATGTATGTACACCTATGTTGTAATATCTGTGTACATGTATGTACACCTAT